CATGTGTGTGCATGAGAGTGAGGATGTGTATAAGTGTGTACATGTGTGTGCATGAGAGTGAGGATGTGTATAAGTGTGTATTTGTGTGTGCATGAGAGTGTGAGGATGTGTGTGCATGAGAGTGTGAGGATGTGTATAAGTGTGTACATGTGTGTGTATGAGTGTGAGGATGTGTACATGTGTGTGTGCATGAGAGTGTGAGGATGTGTATAAGTGTGTACATGTGTGTGCATGAGAGTGTGAGGATGTGTATAAGTGTATATGTGTGTGTGTATTTTAAAAAGTTGTCCTCATAAAGATAAGCAAAAAGTGAACAGAAACACACGTTTCCAGTCAACACACACAAATACGTTTGTATTCATATCTCTGTGAGGACTCTCCATTCATTTCAATGGGGAAAACCCTAATCCCAACATGACGACCTTAACCCCTACCCAGCCCTAACCTTAACCATAAGTAACCAAACAATATAGGAGACTGGCATTTTTATTTTTTTGATTGCATTCACAGATTTTTGCGGGGACCTGAAAAATGGTCCCCACAATGTCAAAATAAAAGGTTTTTAAAAACTAAACGCACACACACACACATACAGACATACAGGCACACTCCTGCCATCCCACACATCAGGCTTGTAAGCACGCACCACCATGCTCAGTCACGCACCTCTAAATGCATGTTGAGCCCCCCCCAGAAAGCCATCGTGTTCTGTTCCCCATTCAGGCGCGCTTGCGTAAGATCGCCCGCTGACGTTCTTCTTCATCTCCTGCCTCCATGTGTCCTTTATATTTGGGAGGGTTACGAGCATTAAAACTCGACATAAACACTCTCAGATCTACATTCCTCATACTGGTATTTGGATCTGTTGTGTCCTGGTTGGCTACTAATGTTCTGCTGAATTATGATGCAGTGGACTGGAACATTCCCATGGGCTCTTCTGATTTGCTGTTGCCTGGCCTTGCTCAGATGTGATTGGCTGTATTCATGCACCCCCCCCCCTCCTTCCCCCATTGCAGGAAGATGTTGAAGCTGTGTGGGGAGACGGAGGACAGGCTGGCCCAGGAGCTCATTCTGTTCGAATTCCAGATGGAGCGGGACGTCATCGAGCCCCTCTATGTACTCGCCGAGGTAGGCTGTCCCAGGGACTTGGACAGGAGCCCTTAGTAACATAATAAGACACATTGTCAGCCATGGGGGGTGGACAAGAGGCACACTGTTGAATTCTGGGTGATTTTTTTGCATTGCCATGGTGATTGATTACCCAAGTCTTCAAACACCTCATGGAAATGAAAGCCAGCTGACACTGATTGCACTAACTGGCTTGCTGAAGTTACACAGGGCCATCTGGGTGGATGTGGGCTAACTGGGAGGGTGGAGCTCCCTCTAAGGGTGGGAGGTGGCACTGTTTCCTGGTGGGTTTCAGGGCAGCTCTGTACACTTTCTGTTGCCATTCCCACAGGTGGAGATCCCCAACATCCAGAAGCAGCGGAAGCATCTAGCGAAGCTGGTGCTAGACATGGACTCGGCCCGTACGCGGTACGCCCCATCGGCAAGCTGTCCCCTTTCCCACAGTCAAAGCCAACCCAAAACAGTCCAAAAGCAATCAACCAATCAGCAAGGGAATGGGACACCGGGACGACTATACCTCCTATAAAATGGTCCCCCCCCTTCCCCAGATTTCTGACCATCTACAAGGTTCTGTTGCACTTGAGTTACCCAGAGACAGCAGAGGGAGTGACAAATAACATGCTGGACCTGAGCCCAAGCTGAAATTGCAGGACAGACGCAGAGTTACTGTCCCCACGAGCAGGACACACTGAGCAGCGGCAGCAAGCTGTCCAGATGTCTGCTGAGTCGGTTGCCAAGGACACAAGCTGTGTTGAGGTTTGGTGTAAAATGGAGACAAGATGGTGTATCACAAATTATGCTGACCTGATGAATCCTTTGTAATGAGGATTCACTCCAGCCTGGACCCCCACCAGCTGTTCTCGAGAAAACAATTACATTTATGATGATTATTATCATTAAAAAGTGTATGCCACACTCTTCAGGGGAAGTTTTTACACAGTCCCTAACTCCAGCAAATCAGATTATAAATGAACCCCACCCCTAATTGGTCATTGGCTCCCTCCACCAACCTCGTGGCGTTCTCGTGGTCTCAGCACTGCCCCCCCCCACCCCCCTCATTAGATTTGCGTCTATTCTAAAAAATGTCACCAGTCTGGTAGCTGTTCTGGCTGATTAATTTTCCTGTCTGGATGTGAGGGTGGATCCTCCTGCTACATTTTACACCCCCTGTCCCTCCCAAAATTACTGGCCCTCTCTGTGTGTAACCCAGGTCCCAACACATGAAACTGTGCTCCCAGTGCCTGTGAACACAGTCACTGGGAACCCCCAGAGAGGCCACATTTTTGCTCCCTCCCAGCACACCTGTACCCGGTAACTGGTTCTAGTTAAAATGTGGCTTGTCTGGAAGGTCCCAGGCAACTGGGTTGAGAAACAGTGCATTAAAGGCTACAAACAGAGGAACGTTTGTAATATGGGAGCAAGAAGGAGGGAATGAGAGAAGGAAAGTGATGCAGAGGAGCGTGTGATAGCAGGGGTGACCAAGGCAGAATGATGACATTGGGGATATTGTTCTTAGAGCCATGTGTCTGTGCATGCTCATGTGTCTGTGCATGCTCATGTGTCTGTGCATGCCCCTGTGTCTGTGCATGCCCATGTGTCCGTGCATGCCCATGTATCCGTGCATGCTTGTTTGCCTGTGCATTCTTGGATGTCTGTGCATGCTCGTGTGTCTGTGTGCCTCAGTATGTCACCTGACCCTCCACATCCCCTTTCCAGGTGGCATCAGTCTTCCAAGTCCTCAGGTGTGTCCAGCAACCAGCAGCCGGCGGGGGCCAAAGCCGACGCCCTCAGGGAGGAGATGGAAGAGACTGCCAATCGCATGGAGATCTGCAGGGTCGGCCCCTCTCTCATTGGCTCATTCGCTCCCTCACGCACGCACACACACATGCGCTTGTACACGGACACACGCCGCCTGTTTCTCCTGCACAAAGCTCCGCATTGCGAAACAGCAGAGGACAGAGCTGACATGGTGAACAATCCGCGTGAGGAAGACGGGTCCCCAGGGCCTCGGCGGCTCCCCGCTTTACTCTGTCTCCTGTCAGCCGTCGCCGCTGATTTAAAATAAACTTCCCTAAAATATCCCCACAGTCTCTTTTGAAAAGAGCAACTACTAAACATTGCCTAACATTTTCTGTTTTTTTCTAATTCCCTCTAGGATCAGCTATCAGCAGACATGTACAGCTTTGTGGCCAAAGAAATCGACTATGCAAGCTACTTTCAGACTGTAAGTACCTCTCTGGAGACAGCGCCCCCTGGTGTGTTCCCTGGTGAATTGCCATTGCTGTGCTGAAGTCCAGGCCTCTGCTTGCAGCTAATAGAGATCCAGGCTGAGTACCACAGGAAGTCACTGGAGCTGCTTCAGAGCGTCCTGCCGCAGATCAAAGCTCATCAGGGTGAGTCCTCCTCCCCCCGCTCGCTGCTCGGGCCTCCTGTCTCAGTCCGGTACCCGTGTGCATGCGTGTCTGTGTCCCGCCGCAGAGGCGTGGGTGGAGAAGCCGTGTTACGGGAAGCCCCTGGAAGAGCATCTGACCATCAGTGGACGTGAGATCGCCTTCCCCATCGAGGCCTGCGTCACCATGCTTCTGGAGTGTGGTCTGCAGGAGGAGGTACAGTCACTTCCACCCCCCCAAATACCCCCCTCCCAAGAATCGCTCTTTGTTTCAGAGTGTGTGAACACCCCATGAACAATCCACACTCCTTTTTTAAGTAACAGTAAAGCAAATTACCTAGAATTTTTTAATTTCCTCAAAGTTTAAGGGTTGGAATGAAATGCAAATGAACTCCAAATTAAGGAAACTGGCTGGAAAATTGCTTCACACTGTGGTCGCAGTAGTTGTAAAGGAGGATATTTAATAATAATCTGGGGTTGTTGTAGAAGCTATATGATACGTCACTTTCTGTCCAATGAATGGAGAGGTAGGTCATATGACCTGTCAGGGGGGCCGCGCTGACTTCCTGCTTCCTGTGTGGGCAGGGCTTGTTCAGAGTGGCTCCATCGGCCTCCAAGCTAAAGAAGCTGAAGGCGTCCCTGGACTGTGGGGTGTTGGACGTGCAGGAATACTCTGCTGACCCCCATGCCATTGCAGGTAGGAGACACGCCCCCCCCCACCCCCCCCACCACCACCATGTCATCGCCATGGTGATGTGCAGCCCTCATTCAGCAGGTACCTGCAACAGGAAGACTGTCCGGTTTCTGCTAGTGAAGCGTCAGATTCATTCTTTCCGTTGGGTTCCTTCTGTCTAAAATGCTGTCAGATCCCACAGGGTGCCCCAGTGCGATTATAGGAGCTGTGATGCCCGTCCTCATTAGTGTCCCGCTCCTCTGTATAAACTCCTCCCCACCAACTGGACTCAAAGCAGCCACGCCAGAATACGGCTGGACCGCAGGAAAATACTTTTACGGTCCCAGTGTGCTCACAGGCCAAAAAATTAATTTTCCACACACTAATTAAAGACGGACCCCTTTGGATTCCAGAATGTGCGCTTCAATGTTGGTGTCTGTTGGCTATGCAGCAACACATATGCAGTATCTCATGCATAGGCATGGACACGTATGTTCAGGCATATAAAGTCATGCACTTGTGCGCACATGGGCTTTCTGGTGGGCACCCTGTGCCATTAGCCTTTCTCTCTTACACTCACAGGAGCGCTGAAGTCCTACCTGCGAGAACTTCCAGAACCACTCATGACCTTTGACCTCTATGAGGAATGGATTCAAGCTTCCAAGTAAGAGGAAAACAACTGAACAATGGACTGAAAGCCAGGGCATTCTAATCTATTGTTTCATTCACCAAAGTGTACAGAGGGTTTTGCAAAGAGAGCTTACCTCAACCCCACTGACTGAAGCGGGTAGTTCCAACACGACATTGTAGCCTAGTTCTCCAAGTGAATATAGGCACCATCTGTCTCCATGATGAGGAGCCTGACTATTTTACTAAGATTGTTTTTATGCCCAACAGCATTCAAGATCAAGACAAGAGGCTGCAAGCTCTGCTCACCGCCTGCGAGAAGCTTCCCACAGCCAACAGCAACAACTTCAGGTGAACCTCCACTCTCTCCATCCCCATTCATGACCTTCTGTCACAGAAAGTTTGTCAGTAGCATCGAGAACTTTGCAATTCGCTGTGACCTCTTTGAAAAGGGGATCCGACTTCAAAAATTAATCACTCAGAAATGATGTCAAGAAAATATTCCAGCATTAGTTGGGAATCCTCACTGTCCTCAAAACAACAGCGAAACTGTCCACCTCCAGACCAGCAGAGGACCCATCATGGTGAAGGGCTGGACCACTGTGTTCTTAGTCCTGTCTGTATCAGGATTGCTCCTTCTCAGTTTTGGGTTGGGATCAGGGAAGAAACAAAGGTATCCTTATCGACCTACCTACCTCAGCTCTGTGACAAGCCAGCTGCTCCTTCCTCTGCAACACGGACCATGTTCCCCAACACCTCCATTATATTTAGTCCAGGAAAGCTCTGAATTGCACTACATTTGCTCAGTAGGAATGACTGAGTGTTTAAACATGAGCCCCACAGAACGAGTTTGCTGGGATTTTTTTCCTCTCAGTGGTAAATGTACTGTCTCACTCTGCCTGGGTTTTAATTCCTAACCTTGGCCTGCGTGTGTGCAGGTATATTCTCCCTCTATGTGTGCAGTTTGCATGATTTTGCTACGTTGTGCAGGTTTTCTCCAGGTACTTAGGTTTCCTGCCACGAGCAAACAACATACAGTTAATTGAATTAGCTCTCTCAATTAGCCTGAGCGCGTACCATTGATGGTTCAGCATCCTGTTCAGGGTTTACTCTATACTGCATGGGATAAGCTCCAACGCCACCTTCCCACGACCATGTCTGGTATTAGCACAAGGGCATAGATTTGGGTATGGACAGTACGGCCATGTCCCTACCGATATTGTGGGAGTACCGTGTATGTTTGGGGCTGATTCGCTCCCTGCTAATGCTGAATCTAAGCCTACGCCCTTGCAGAAGCAGTTAGATGATGACTGAATAGATGGATGGATATTTCCTCCTGAGGAGCTAATGGATTTCCCACCCAATAGCAGTCATCTCAAAATAGTTCTGCCCACTCTGGTATGGTGCACATGTGTCCCAATTTGATCTACCATGTTGGTATAAAGTACAGTACGAGCCTTGGGCTGTGGAGTAGCGGTGGCACAGGCCCAGCACAGAGCTAAGCACAAAGAGCAAGGACACCAGCTACTGACGTCTTCTTGGGTCAGTTACATGGTCTCTGCTATTTATTCCTGTTATACTGGGAAACTGGCATCTCATGGTTTTTTTGTCTTGTCACGATAGATACCTGATAAAATTCCTAGCCAAGCTGAATGAGTACCAGGACGTGAATAAAATGACAGCAGGGAACATGGCCATCGTGCTGGGACCAAACCTGCTGTGGACGCATGCTGAGGGGTAAGATCCAGCGGGGTTCTGCAAAGGCGTGGGGGCACTGACAGGCCCCCATTGGTCGAATGCAGGCCATGTGGTTTCTTCCACGTAAAGATGCTCTGCTCATGATTTTTGCACGTTTTCTTTGCACATCCCAATTCGATCAGTCAGTTTGATGAGGTTTTAGGGAAGGACAGTATATAGCCACTTCTGACCACAAACTGGTACTAACCCCATTTACGCTATATTTCACAGGAGACTTTTTCAAATAAACACAGGTAGTTCCTAGTTTGAAAGAAGACTGCTGTTCTTTCAAATAGCATAGTAAACCCTTAAACAGAGCATGCTTGAAATTAGGATTAGGAAATAGTATTATTTCTGGTGCTTAGGCAGGGGTTAATAGTCATAATGACACTGCAGTAACATCTAAATAACATTGTAATAACCCCCACAGGAACATCACAGAGATGATGACCACGGTGTCCCTGCAGATCGTGGGCATCATCGAGCCCATCATCCAGCATGCTGACTGGTTCTTCCCTGGAGGTGAGCGAGACCTAAGTCGTGGCCGTTTGGAATCAGTTGTCCTGCCACTCGGCCTCAATGCTGCTGCCTTTGGAAAGGACATCAACAAAGCATCTCCTGTCACTGTACCATGATGACAATGAATAGTTTACGCAACTTACTGATTCCCCTAGTAAATGTAAAAGTAAGAATAATTTTAGCTAGGATAGATTTTGTATTCATTCTGTAGATATATTCTTCAGTTCAACACAACTCAATCTCATTGCACTTGATCAGTGACAATAAAGATTTTCATTCATTTAGCTTTGTAGTGGCACTGACATTATTAATAATTTATCTTGGTTGCCATTTAAAAACAATTTCTGTGGTTCACTCTTCTTCTTCCTCACCCAGAGATTGAGTTCAACGTGACAGGCAATTATGGCAGCCCCATCCACACCAACCACAACGCCAACTACAGCTCCATGCCCTCGCCTGACATGGACCACTCTGATCGCAAGCACGACCAAGGCCGACGCCCCCTCAGTGTCGCCACTGACAACATGATGCTGGAGTTTTACAAGAAAGATGGGTAAGACTCTCATCTTTACGCCACCCCAATCCTCCACCATCCAGCCATCATCCATGTGCCACAAACCAACAGTCAAACATTAACCAGTCTGCTTTTCTGTATGGCACCTTCTTGAGGCGTTTAAGTTGATTGTCTCTGAAATCTTAGAAACAGAATTACCTGCCCTAGGAATCCATCAGGGATGGTTGTGGTGAGGGGAGAGGGGAACACGAAGGACTCCATGAAGACCATGTTTCATTTTCTTTATTTGATTCTCATAACCCGTTTTGGGGTGGAGCAGCCTTGGCACAGACTGCTTGCTTTGCTTGCAAGGATGTGCCAGCCCAGGACAGCAAACAAGTCCTTAGCCCTCAACCACTGAATACCAAAGGCAAGCTCTGCACAGATGCTTTTATGTTGTACAGAGATTATTAGGAGGAAATTGAATACCTATCGGGCCATATGTTTGCTTGCTTGGCTTCCTTACATCCCCAGTTACCTTTGGTTTACAGTGCATCTCGTATGTTTGCAGTCAGGATAATTGCTCTAACATGTTCCTGATGAACTTTTCTGGGGTTTTATCTTTGTTGCCTTGTGTTCACTCCATCCAGTTCCTAGCCCCTTACACAACCTATTGCTCCTTTCAATGGCAATGCAGCAGAAAAACCATCAGTGGAATTGGACACCAGACAAGCATGTACAGGTCGTCCTGGCGTCTTTGAGCTTTTTTTAGACTTTTTAATAGTTTCCAAGTGAAGTTAGATCCAAATGACATCCAGCTGCAGTCTGCAGTGTGACGACACAGCCACTATCGTGGTGGCATCTCTCGGTGTAGGAGTCCCACATTTGACAGAATAAAATAGTCAGAGTACTAACTCTTATTTTTCAAATGGCCATATATGGTTTGCTAGGCTTCATCTTCCCAGATGACAGATGAACTGTGTGCTGCAGGGAGTCAATCCACCCCGACTGTGGTTTTATTTTAAGGTTTTTTCTTGTCTGTTGGGGAATGCTGTCCTAATTGCTATAATTGGAGCACTAATTGGATTCTGGCAGGGGAAGGTGCAAGAAGCTCCTCCGGGACGGCATCATGGTTGCCCCCAGGACCTCTGTCCTCTCTCCTTCCAATACAAGTTTCATTTTACACAGCACCACCCCCCCCCCATCCCTGCTGTCATGCTCCGCCATCTTGGCTCAAAGCCTGTCCTCAAGGCAGCCGCTGCTATTGCTGTGTAGCGTGGGAACATAGAGCAAAGATGTACTTGCAGTCTCGTTGATCTTCACCCTTGATGTTTCTGTCCTACTAATGCAGCATTAGGAAAATACAAAGGTACCGTATGTTTTCTTTCTTTTTCCTCCTCTTTGGCTCTCTCTCACCCTCTTCTCTCTGTGTACAGTACTCTTAATGATGCTCCCCAACCGCATGTACAGTAATACACCTCAACGGGGGGGGGGGAGGGGGGGGCTGTCCCATTCCATGTGCCTCCTCCCCCCTTCTGCAGTGCTGAATCTCAACTGCTGATTCCTCCATCATCTCCAGTCACCCGAAAAACACCAGGACGGCTATTAAGAATGCAGAGCAAATCCCTGCCTGCCCTATGGTGGCCTGGCAGTCTGAGCTCACATGAGATTGTCATGCAGGAGGTGGTTGTGGAGATGTACCGACACAAAGGCAGCGCCCTGCCTTGTCAGTCATAGACCCCTGTCTCCGGTTGTGAGAGCTGGTAAATGTATATCCAGCCTCTGGATGTGACCAGGTTTTCTTGCCGTTTATGGAGTACTTGCCTGTTTGTCCTTGTTAGCGCTGTCACCAATGCATATAACCACATTTTAACCAATTAAGAAGTTCCAAGTGAAGCTAAGCTAATGGAGGTGTCCATGAGAGAGAAGCAGTAATTGGGGTGGGGACTTACCCCCAAGTGCTCCGAGCCCACCCCCCTACCCTCCCGTAACCTGACTGGCCCCGTGTGTCTCCCTGTCTTGCTGTAGCATGGGCGTCCGGGTGATGGACACGTCTTGGGTGTCACGCAGGGGCTCGTCCTCAGCACGCAAGGCGTCCTCCACCCCTCCGGGGGCCCAGACTCCTGCTCCGCCCACCGACTCGCTCATCCCTGAGCAGCCGGATGAGCTCTCTGCCACCCCCTCCCCTGCTACCCCCGCTAGCAGCGACCGGGCCAGGTAAGGCTGTGCCGTGGCCTCTTCCAGCAGCCTGCTCTGGCCTCACCCCATCTACCCCCCCTTCCCATCAAGGTCTACACAGCTTTGCCTTTCCATCGTCACCTGTCTCTGTTTTTGCCCCCATTGCCTGTTTTACTAAATTAAGTCTCTTTTTCTGTTTAGTTGTTGCTGTTGTTGTTGGTCATTGTTAGTGTTGTCACCAGTGTCATTGACGTTGTTGTTGTCTTCTCAGTGTCCAGCAGGTATATTGTTGGGTCAGAGCTGGGGTCAAGAAAACGTGGGTGAAGCTAGCATAGGGCAGTTTAGCATGGATCGAGTTAGCATAGGGCAGTTTAGCATGGATCGAGCTAGCATAGGGCAGGTTAGCATGGCTCGAGTTAGCATAGGGCAGTTTAGCATGGATCGAGCTAGCATAAGGCAGGTTAGCATGTATCGAATTAGCATAGGGCAGGTTAGCATGTATTGAATTAGCATAGGGCAGGTTAGCATGGATCAAGCTAGCGTAGGGCAGGTTAGCATGGATCAAGCTAGCGTAGGGCAGGTTAGCGTAAGTCAAGCTAGTATGGGTGGCAGTACTTCTTAGCTTCTGTATAGTTTTCTCAATTTAGCAGGAACAGTCATTCATCCTTTCAGTCTCCCTGAAGCTGAGAACTGATGCCTCAGATGAGGTTTAGCTTGTAGGATCGAAGCCGGACATCACAGAGGCATAGTGCTTTGGGAGGAGTACGTACAGAGCATGTTGGCAGCGCGACTGGCCTCCTCATCTGTTCACTTGTCCTGTTCTCTTTGATCCCACATCTGGCAGACGTGTCATACGAGCTATAGTTAGCACAGTTAGTATCTGTGTCGATTTTACAGAATGGAAAAGACTAATTTAAAGGTTTGCTGAGGTTCTGTTTGTGGATAACACACAACCTTCGGATCCTGCCATTTGGATGCTTAGTATGTCGTCTTTCAAATTTGTTTCTGAAAAGTTTTTTTTTCTCATCTGGACAACAGGCCCTATTGCAGCACATCGCTAAGCGTACCCCTCCCCCTTCCTGCACCCCCACCCCCTTTCTGTTTGCTGCCCATCTCCATGTGCTGTGCTCATGCTCTCCCTCCCTATGCGTTTGGCCTGCCTATCCCCAACTAACCCCCCAACCCCTGTTAAAGAACACCAGCTCACTAAGAATGAGCAATTAACCCTGCCCCCATTGACAAAGGAAATGCCCTCTCAGGCTGACTCACTAACCCCACCACCTTTTAAAGGAAACTCCTCACTTTTAATAAGTACCTTGACCTCCATTAAATCGCATTTACATTAGAAGTAAACCACGATGTGCAGATGCTGGGCCCTTGGCTTGTACTTGTGTGCTTCCCCCCCCCCTTTCTATAAATAATTATGATCCAAAGAGCAGAAAGACCCACCTCTGTTCTCTGCCTCAGATCGCCTTCTCAGTTTCTCTTTATCTTTTATTGTTCACCTTTAAAATCTCCAGCAGAGCCGTGTCGTCCGTGTGGTTGGACTCCCGTTACGCCCGCCCCCCCGCTGGGGAGGAGAGCCCGCCCCCTCCCAGCCATTCCTCCTCTTTCCCCGCCTCCTTCCCTGACCCTGCCCCCCAGCATTCCTATGCCCCAGCACCCCCCCTTGCATACCCTGTGCCCACTGCGCCCCCCCCACCTCTCTGCCACTGGGCTTGCTCTGGCGCCCCCCCGTCTTCTCCGCAGCTTGACATCAACTCCAACCCCAAACCTACCTCCCTGCCCCTCCCCAAGCAGGACCCGATCCCTGAGGTGGCACCTGCCCCCCCTGTGTTAATTCCTCATGACCCCCTCCCCAGAGACCCCACTAACTGCCCCCTGCCCACCCCCCCACCATGGGCCACCTGTGTCAAAGAGCGAGGAGCCAAGCTGACTAGGTAACTAAACCCCCTCCCCAACACAAAAACCAACACACTGCCCCCCCAGCAGCTCAGGGTGCTTCGCTTCTTCAGAGGTCCTCACGCCGTGCCGTTGTCATTTTCATGTGCAATCTGTACACTCATGCCACCCCCATCACATGCTGACTTGGGGGCCCATGCTCTGGGATCTGACATTGACATTATTCAGATGGCTTTATAAGGTCACGGCTGGCGCTCGCTTACCAAGGAGCCCATAGGGATACGGCAGTCTGGCACTGGGTGATGGGTTGCCAGGCAACCATGGGTGTTATTATTGCTGAGCGACATTGGAGCCTACTGCAGTAGATGGGGGGGGCAGTGATCCAGTGTGATGACTCCTGCTTGTGTCACTGGCTGTTTATTTTGACACAGAGAGCTCTGGGTATCTTGCCGGTTTGTTAGCATACGCAGACTAAGGCCGTGAATCACCCTTCGCCGCCATCCACAGATCCTTCAGATCCAAAGTCCTCCCGTCTGCTCGGCACAGCCAGCTCACACTGCCACACATGCTCTCTGACACGCCAAAAGCATGTGCGATGCAGTGGTGCCTGCCCGGGGGCTCACGACCCAAAGATGACTCTGCACTGTCTGTGGTGAGAGTTGTGGCCACAAGAGCAGATCCGTGTTCTGGCCCAGTAAATCGCAGCCAGGTTTGCAGGGGGCTGCGCCCACATGTCCTACCGGTGCCAGTGCGAGGGTGTTGTACGTACACCTTCTTCTGCATACTCCTGATGCCCAACTGCTAAGAATCTGCTTCGGCTTATTGGTGGGGCAGAACCATCTAGATTCAGATTGCAGATTCTGGATTGAAACCCAGGAACTGTAGATTTAAGCAGTGAGGTTCTCAGGAAGGTAAATAGATGGAACGCAGATGTTGAGAGGAAGTGACATCGAAGGACTTCATTATAATCCCATGATAAACGAATGGATGGATGGATGGATGGATGGAATTGACTAGTTTGATAAAATTAGGCCTAAAGTCACTCACCAAAACACTATCGGAAATAAAAGGAAAATGTAGGTAGTACTCACCATTTGAAAACAGAGTGTTACAAAAAATCAAAAAAAGCATTATTTTGTATAAATTATTGTGGAAAAAATGTCTATATTATAGTAACTAGTGTTACATTGTGATGCCATAAGAATGTGGTGAGAAGGACAGTCATTGTGATGGGGGGTGAACAGAGAGGATGCTGGGAATTATGGTCAGCCTGATTATTTTCCCCCCCCTGCAGTACCCTGAAGAACAAAGAGCTCTCTCCTTCGTTTGGGCAGAAAGGCATCCAGGGGCCGGGCCCCAGTGGTAATGCAGCCAGTAGCGGGCAGGCACAGCTGACCACTGAGCAGAGCCCTCACACCTTGCGCAAAGGTATCAGCCAATCAGGTTTCCTCACCCATATTCCTGTGCCCTCCTGAGCGAGCCGGTGCCGCTGTGGGCCGGCGCCGAGCCCATGTGGAGGCCCCGTGTCCGTCCGCATGGTGACGGCGCTCCCGGCTGAGGGCGTCGGCCCACTCGCCGTCCGCTCGCCGCGCCTCCCGACCCCTGCTCCACTCCCCCCTCCTCCCTCTGCTCTCCCTCCCTCTCCGCCCCTCTCTCCCTATCCATCCTGCTCCTTCTCCTTAACGGACAGCTTGCTCGTGAGCCTCACAGGCCCAGAACAGCCCTAATGAATCAAACAAAAGGCCCTCCTTCTGCTCGCGTGGATGTCAGTCGGCTGAGACGTCAGTCGGCTAAGACGTCAGTGGTTAATATGGCCGATCCCCCTCTCTTACTCTGGCGGCTCTTCCCCTAATAAAGTCTATTGGTGCTTTTCCACTGGCGTACAGGAACCGAACTGTACCCGAGCTGTACTGCGAAGAGAGACTAGTTGCAGCGTTGTTCCAGCTCGTGTTGGTTCTCCACTGCGGAAGGGTCGGCTCGTTAAAGGCCTTGTCAGGTTTGGAGAGTGACAGTGACGTAAAACTGAAGAGATTCTTATTTACTGTTCACATGGTGTGCATCATGATATATTATGTGCAAATTTCCAAATTTTGCAAATGTTAGCATCAAACGCTAGCGGAATTAGCATTCGCTTACATAAATTTGCATTACGGATCTATTCCGTTCAGCTGTACTTTTTTTAAGTAGGAGGTTGGAAATTTTCAAGTTCCGAGTTATTGGGAATGCGATGTGCAATACTACTAACAATGAATAATATATAGAATATACATATTTCCTTAGATAATCCGTGCTCAGAACACCAGTATCTCCATGCCTTTTGACCAATCAGACGGTGGTGACCCAGTCAGCTTGCTCTGGTCATGCTTTGGCCCTGCCAGGGGCCAGGGGCCCTTCAGTGTGGGTACGGCTCACAGAATTCACCGTGTAAAACCATCCCTTTGTGGTACGGCCCGGTTCTTGGCGGCGGTGGGAAAGCACCATATGCTACTCTCCACAGGTAGGTAATTCAGATCCAGAAAGTACAAACAAAATTTTGTTTCAACCAGCCAGTTCATTATAAAGAGTCACAGACACAGAGGACTCAACTGGCTGGTTGAAACAAAATCTTGGACTGGACTTTTGCTCTCTGGATCTGGATTACCCATGTCTGCTACTCTCTGCCCCCGCACCCCCGCAGCCTGCCTCTCACGCTCTCTCCTCCTCTCTCTCCGTCTGTCAGCAGTATGTCGGAAGCTGGTCCCCGTCCCTCCCAAAGTCCCATTCTGCCCGTCGGGGGCAGTGTCCGATCAGTCTACGGGGCAGCCGTCCCCGGTCAGCTTGTCCCCCACCCCTCCCAACACGCCCTCCCCTTACGGCTTCGGATACCCCCAGGGCTACGCCACCGTCTCCTCCCCGGGTCAGGCTTCCCCAGCCACGCCCACATCCCTGTCCTCACCCCCCTCACTGAGCGGCACGCTCACCAAATCCCGGGCCGCGGCCAAGCCCCGGCAGCGGCCTAGCCTGCCCCCCCCGCCACAGCCGCCCACCGCCCCCGGCTCCAGTCCCCAGTCCTTGGAGCACGGCCTGCTGGACGGACTGTCCTCCGGGGAGAGCATGTCCACAGGTGAGCCCATCTCTATGGTGGTTCCAGACGGCCCACTGCACGTTCCTCTTTCTTGAGCGCCCCCTAGTGTTCAAGAGACTGCCCAATGGTAGATTGCAGCTGTTGAAGTGATTCTCCGTTGATTGATTGATTATTATTATTATTGTGCACCTGCAGCGGTATGAGGCCAGGCTGTGAGTGTGGGCTAGAGGTGAGGGGGACTTGTAGGGTAAGCTGGACTGACGACACCGAATGGCTCTCGGCTAACAGGGTGCTGTCTATATATATACATATATATATATACCTGTATACATGGACCATATACGTCTTGCTCTCTTTCTCTATATGTGTGTGTGTGTGTGTGTGTGTGTGTGTGTGT